GTTTGTGGGGGGCACTTGGGAAGGGCTGGAAGAGGGGCAGGTTTGTGGGGGGTCCTTTGGGGCTGGGGCATGAGGCCCTTTGGGAGGGTTGGGGAAGGGGCCGGTCCGGTGGGGGGGACCGGGGCTGACGGCAGTGTCCGGGTGGCGCCGCAGGAGTCGGGGGACGACGAGTACAAGGGCGACCAGTCGGACAGCGACGATGAGGTGGACTCGGACTTCGACATCGACGAGGGCGAGGAGCCGGCCAGCGACCAGGAGGACGGCGAGCCCAAGCGCAAGCGCCGTGTGGTTACCAAGGCCTACAAGGTGCGGCCGGGGCTCTGCTTCCCGTGGGGGTTTGGGGGAGGGGAGGCGCCCGCTCCACGGCGCAAGGGGCTGGATGCCTGGGACAAAGACCCAGGCATCCTGTGTGCCACGGGGCTTCCCGTCAAACGGGGGCTACAGATGCACTAGGGTCACCTGGATGTTTGAGGGAGGGGCGGCTGGGAAGGGGGTAAGGCCCGCTACAGCGGGAAGGGGATCGTTGGGGAGGCCTGGGGTCTGGACTCAGCAGCAGAGTTGGGGTCCGGCCTCCTGGGTTGCCTCCCTGGGAGGAGGAGGTGCCTGGTGGTAAGAACTGACCCATGAGGGGTAACAGGTGAGGAAGGCAGCACCCCCCCGGCAGCTCTCCTCTTCCTCACCCTGCTCTGCTGTGACTCCCCCAGGAGCCCCTCAAGAGCCTGAGACCCAAGAAGGCCGATGCCCCCAGCGGCAGCTCACAGAAGGCCCGAGAGGAGAAGGCGGTGCCCCTGGAGCTGCAGGATGACACTGGGGACAGTAAGTGCATGCTTGGCACTCGCTAGCAGAGCTCCCCTGTGTCCCCACCAGGCCGCAAGCACATGCGCCAGTCGACCACAGAGCACACCCGCCAGACCTTCTTGCGCCTTCAGGAGCGTCAGGTGCAGTCCAAGCGCAAGAAGGGCGGCCCCAACTATGACCGTCCCCTGACACAGGAGGAGCTGCTGGAGGAGGCCAAGATCACAGAGGAGATCAACCTGCGCTCCCTAGGTGAGTGGGACCATGGCCATCACCCCATGGGGTACAAGGAGGGTGCTGGGATGGGCCTGGGGCTATGGTCATGGAGGGATAGGGCTGGTGGGGCTCACAGGCAGCAAAGGACCCCAGAAGACAGAGGCATTAGGAGCTGCCAGCCTGGGTTCCCCACCCAGAGGAGAGCAGGGTGTGGTGGTTAGCGGTGGCTAGGACTCCTGGGTTCTTTGTCCAGCTCAGGTGCTACCTGGCTGGGTGATTCGTTTCACCGCTGACCCCCAGTTTCCCCCCAGTGTTAATTGGAAGTCTGTGGGTGACGTGAATGGGTACCGTCTCTTCTCACCGGTGCATGGTTGGGAACTAGATGATGATTGTGGCTGGCTCTGCAAAGGCTGCCTGCTAGGGGAGACCCCTGTCTCCCCCCTGGGTGGGGGGCACTGACCCGCCTGCTGTGACATGTCACCTTGAGTGGTGGGCAAGTACCTGCAGGAGACGGGGCCTGGCACCCTAGGCGCTGAAGTGAGGTCCCCCCCCCCAGCCCCGCTGTGCTGACGTCCGGTTTCTTCATCCCTGCAGAGAACTACGAGCGCCTGGAAGCCGACAAGAAGAAGCAGGTGCAGAAGAAGCGCAAGTGCGTGGGGCCATTGATCCGGTACCACTCGGTGACCATGCCCCTTATCACCGACCTGGGCGTCAAGGAGGAGAACGTGGATGTGGAGGGGTAGGTGTTTAGGGCACAGGGGGACCCTTGGGCCCAGTCCAGCCCTTCTCCATAAAATCCTTGTGCCCGTTCCCTTTGTAGATCCTGGAGCTCGGCTCCCGGATACCAACCTCTGTCCTTGGGCACTGCCCCCAGTCCTGGCCGTGGCATCTTGCAGCTGCCAGCAACTCAGCTGCAATGCCCTGACGTTCTGGCTTGCAGCTGCTTCTCTGAGCTGGGATGGTCTGTGGACCAGAGCTGTGTGTGTATGGATTCACATAGGTCTGCCAGGGTGGTGTTTGGGGCCTGGTCAGATCCTTAGCTTGTACCAACCTGGATTAGACCCCAGGCTCTGAGCAGGGAGGGCGGGGGTTGGGGATGGACTGACCCAAGCAGAGACCCTGGGGCTCATGTAGTTGGCTGCCATGAGCACAGGTAGCCCTGCTCCCTCTCTCCCTGGATGCCTGTGTCTCTTGGAGCTGAAGCCCAGACTCACCCCAGTGGTAATTCCCCCATGCCCAGGTTGGATCAAGATCTCCACCAGCCCTCAGAGGCAGCGCCGGCACCAGCTGTGGCCCCCATCGCTGGGAAGTGCTCACGCACCTTCATCACCTTCAGCGACGATGAGACCTTCGAGCAGCTCTTTCCCAAGGGGCGCCAGCCCCGGCTGCCCGTGCGTGAGATCTGCCCTGTGACCCATAAGCCGGCCGTGTATCGCGACCCTGTCACTGACATCCCCTACTCCAACATCAGGGCCTTCAAAATCATCCGCGAGGCCTACAAGAAGTACATCACTGCTCATGGGCTGCCCAATGCTGCTGCCACCGCTGCCCTGGGAGCTGGGCCTCCTGGGGCTGACCCTGGCATCCGCGCCACCCGCCAGAAGATCATTATCAAGCAGACGGTCCCGGCTACATAGAGCCCTTGTGGGCAGGTGGGGGGCTCCTGTGTTCAGGGGGAAGGGGAGGAAGCTTTGTCTTTGTTTCTCAGGCCCGTGGGACTGAATCAGCTGCTATTGCTGTTATTTTTGGGGGTGAGGCAGACTGACCTCTCCAAGGGACATGGACCTATGTTGGAAGCCTCCATATGGCTCCGTGTCCTCTTCCTTCCTTTGCCTTTGTCAGGCTCAGGTGGGGGCCGCTGGTTGCTCTTTGTTTTTTTATTTATTTTTGTATAATAAATGCAAAGCCAGGTGGCAACCCTACAGAAACATAGAGGTGCGTATAGCCCCCGAGGTGACATGGGGTGGAAAGGGACCCTACAGAAGCCCAGACCAGCATGTACAGCTCCTGAGGCCTGGGACAGCCCTAGTAAACAAAGGGGGGGTACAGAGACTCTACTGAAACACAGACTGCTGTGTACAGTTCCTGAGCCCTGGGACAGCCCTGGGAAATGGGTGCAGAGGCCCCACAAATGGTGGAGCAGGGCTGGGCTGTGTCCGTGAGCCCCGGAGTCCTGTGGGGCAGTGAAATGAAGGCTGACTCTAGCAGAGTGGGGAGGGGCCTGGAGCTGTGACTGGCTGCTGCTGCCTGGCTCCTGCGGGGGCTCTGTGGCTGGAGTCACTGCACGGGATCCATCGCTGAGATGCCCCACCAAGAGGTCAGTTTGTAGCCAGTGGGGGGAGTGTCTGCCTGGCTGGGAGCTCAGTCCAGCTTCTCCCATCCTGCCCCCAGACCATTCACCTGCAGCTTTGCCTGGGTAGCACAGCCGGGCTGGGGTTTCTCAAGCTGACGGTTGCAGGTGATGTCCTGTGGGTGGATGCGTGTCCCTGAGCTGCCTCCTGGCCCCAGCTCCAAGCAGGGATAGTCCTGCCAGGGGAGGTCTCGGTCCCAGGGACTCCAGCTCCAGCTGGCTGTATGCACCCAGGTGCTTCCTGCTGTGGTCCAACATGGCTAGAGCACCAGTGACACCCCAGCCTGTGGCCTCCAAAGCTTCCCCCACCCCAGCTCCTTGCTGCCAGGCTGCTCCAATTTCCAGCCCCCAGCTTTGTTACTAATCAATAACATGGTGCCTCAGATTCCCTGGGCTGCCCCTGGTGCTAGGCGCTGTACAAACCCCCAGTCCTTCCTCCCTAGCTCAGTGGATTCTCCCACCAGGGCTGGGCTGTGGTCTCTCCCTATCTGAGTCTGGGTGTGTCCAGAACAGGCTTATCCCCTCTGCCTCCCTTGAGCTGTATCCAGCCTGGAGCCTCCCGTCACAGCCCAGTTCTGGCCCAGCAGGTGCCTGGTCCTTTCTCCCCTTGTCCCAGCTGGGAAGACTGAGGTCCTCCACGGCAGGAGCCATGCTCAGCCCCTGGCACACCCACCCCGATGGCTCCTCATGCTCCCACCTGCTTCCATCCCCTGCGAGCTCTGGGCAGGGGCTCGGTCCATGTGGGTGGGGTCCAGGCCTGCCCGGGGGCTCCTGGCCGCTATGTAACACCAGCCATAATCCTCTCGCCCTCCCCTGCCCCCTCTCAGCTGTCCCCCTCCATCACGCCCGTCTCCCTCCCGCAACCAAGCTGCTCTGAATTCCAGCTCTGCCGGCTTCAAGGCACCGTTACTACAAGGCACGTCGGAGCTGCCTGGCCTGGTCTGGCCACCTCTGGCACTAGGGGCTGTACAAAGCTGGCAGTCCAACCTGTTCCCCTTGACCTCTGCCTCTCCCAGCCTGGGGGTCTCCCTGATGTGCACCCTGCTCAGCCCTAGCCCCCTGAGCTCTCCCTGCTTCCAGGCCTTGCACCTGGCCCTGGGAGGACAGAGGGGTTGGGGCACCTGGCTCTGCATGGTGCTGCCTCCTGGCCAGCAGTGTGAGGCCTTGGCCGCTGGGTGTCTGTCGGGCGCCGCAGGGTGCTGGGCGTGATTGATAAGGAGCCTGTATATGTGATCTCTGCTCGCCCACCCCCCACGGCCCAGCGGGAGCTAAAATAATAAAATGCTGAGCTCACGCAGTTTGCTGCCCGGATCCCTGGCCTCCGCACGGTGCTTTGCTTGCTGGAAGGCAGCGGCCCAGACGGCCTGGGAGAGGTAAGGCTGGGAGCCCGGCTCCTGGGCTGTATACATCTATGGGGGTGGTGTGGGTGGGGCTGGGGTCCAGCCTCTGCTTGGTGCCTCCTGGGCTCTCCCGTTCTCTCCTTGCTGCGTTGTCATTTGCCGTGGACTGTGCATCTCTCTCAGGGTGGCTGCTTTGCTGGGAGCTTTTGGCTGTGGCCATTGGGTTGGGTATCCAGGGGGCTTTGCAGCTTGTCTTCAAGCCTCTGAGTGTGTGTGCGAGTGGCCAGGTGCGCTGCTGTGCCTCTGCCTGCTGGGTCCCCAACACGCGAGCATGGAAAGCAGTTGCTGAGCTGTCACAGGAGCTTCTGGGGGCTGCAGGGATTCTGAAATGTGGCTGCTTCTGGGGTGGAGTGTAAAGGCTGTGCTGAATGCCTGGCTGCCTTGGCTGGGATTCTTGATAGGAGAAATAGGAACGGCGCACTGCTGGGCTCTGGGTTAGCCCCCGATGGCAGGCTGGAATTGCAGCCCAGCCTGTCCGGGCATCCCCGGGGCCGATCCCTGCTGACTCAGGAGAACGCTCCTATTACTTCTGCAGCTCTGCAGGGTGCTCTTATGTCCCCGGTCTCCCAGCCCGGCCTAGCAGCTAGGTCCCACTGACAACCCAGTGCAAAGGGATTGGAGCAGTGACGACAGCAATAGTATGCATGCAGGTGTCACGGTGTCTCCCAGCTGAGGCTGGAGAGCCCTGGCCCTGTACAGCACCTGGAGTGGAGTGGGGCGGGGAGGTTCCCTGCAACTTCCTGGACCAGGTTGGGGAAGGTGGCTGCTGTCAGGTCCCCAGAGCCACAGGGTCACCTTGTCTGAATGTGGAACCTGGGTCCCATGTGGGAACTCCTGGGCCCAGCAGGGAGATGGCCCCCGCGCTGGTGCTGGGGCTGTATAGAGGCAGGCACTGTCTTGGCTAAATCCCTGTGTGGCAGGGGCCCCAAGCAGAGGCACTGGGCTGGCCAGTCATGCTGGGGGCCCTGTCTGGCTTGGGCCCCTAGGACGCAGGCAGGGGATGGTGGCAGTCTGGAGGATGCAGCTCACAAGCAGGGAGCACGCAGGTCCTGGTGAGCGAGGCCTTGCTTTGCAAGCAGCTGTTGACACCACTGCATGCGCTGAGAGCTGGGCCTGGTCTCCCATACACAGGCCTCCTGGAGGGGAGTGCTCAAGGCTCCTTCTCAGCCCCTCCCTGAAGCCAAGTGGTTGGTGGGATCTCAGTGTCCCTCACTGTGTGGTCCAGGTGCTAACCAGCACCAGGGCTGAGGTTGTGGTTGGGTGCTGGGTCCCAGGCTCCCAGGACAGAGCAGGGCAGTGGAGAGTCTGTTCTTGGTGGCTTTTCCACAGGACACTCAGGTCAAGGACCAGGAAACCCCTTCTCTGGGGAAACATGTATTGCACCCATTGTGCAGATGGGAAAATCGAGTCCCAGACAGGGGAAGGGGCTGGCAGAGCGCAGCTAAGACTGAGTAGGTTGGACCCCTGGCCTCTGAGACCAGCCCATGTTCCAGGGACAGGCCCAGAACCCAGGCGGGAGTCTGAGGGTCAGGACTCCTGGGTTCTCCTCCCAGCTGCAATGTCACTGGGGTCCCAGGCGCACGGTGCTGGGAGCCAGGACTCCTGGGTTCTAGTTCGAGCACTGTGGTGCCTCTATTTCCTCAGCAGGAGTCTGAGGCCCCTCCTTGTGGTGAGGCTGAGTTGCTCCCTGCTACCTTTGTCAGGCTAGGGGTGCCCCTTGCTCTGCAGCCAGGAGATGCCTGAGGCCCAGCCCTGGGCTGGAGGGGTGGTGCAGTTTGCAGCTGGGGCTGGGCCCGGGCTGCAGGTCCCTGATAAGGGTGGGGAGATGCCAGGCAGGAGGGGCAGGGCTCTGTTTGTGCCCCTCTTGAGGGCTGGGGGTGGGGGCAGCCGGGGGGCTTGTGTCCGTGCAAGTCAGGGGCCAGCGGCACCTTCAGTGCAGGGCATGAGACCAGCAGGGCCCTGGGCTGACCTCACTGCCTCCAGTGCAGGGAACCCCCTGGACCGACTTCGCTGTGTCTGGTGCAGGAGTACCAGACTTACCTGGGCCTGTGTGTCTGTGTCTGTGTGTGTGTCTGTGTCCCTGTCCGTGGGTCCATGTCTGTGCCCGTGTGGCACGCCAGGGCGAGGGGCCGCCGCCATGTCCTCGACCTCGTACCGCCAGGAGCTGGAGAAGTACCGGGACATCGATGAGGACAAGATCCTGCGGGAGTTGTCGCAGGAGGAGCTGGATCAGCTCGACCTGGAGTTGCTGGAGATGGACCCTGAGGTGGGGTCAGGGGAGACAGCAGATCCCAATGGGTAGAGCAGGGGAGGGGCGGGATCCAGGACCTGTGTTCCCTTCCCAGCAGAGCCGGGGGTGGGGGCTTGGAAGCAGGCTGGGGGCGGGGGCAGGCCCCCGGGACTCTTGGGTTCTTCAGCTCTGGGGAGACCCCACCCCCCGCCTCAGTTACCCTGGCTTCCACCCAGTTCCTTGCGCCCATTCCTGGGCCCTGCACGGGGGCACCTGACCCTTGACCCTTGCACCCCCAGAATGTCATGCTCCCGGCCGGCATGCGCCAGCGCGACCAGACCAAGAAGAGCCCGACGGGGCCGCTAGACCGGGACGCCCTCCTGCAGCACCTGGAGAAGCAGGCGCTCGAGGCCGAGGAGCGCGAGGACCTGGTGCCCTTCACCGGGGAGAAGAAAGGTGCTGGTGGAGGGGGGGATGAGAGAGGGGGCAGGGGAGACCCCAGGGTAGGGGGAGGGGAGGGGGGAGCAGGGCAGGATTTATTTTTAGCTCAGTCCGGCGTTGCG